TTACCCATTCAAGCCATCTTCAAGCATTATTAGTCTCAAAGTGGGTTCCTCGTCATCAAATATTACAGATGTTTGCTCAATAAGGAAGTTATATTTTCCATATTCAGGATTCAAAATGTTAAAGTTAAAAGCAGTTAAAGTCTAACAATGTGCCCATCAATTTTAAATAAGAACACTTAACACTCACTTTATCCAATTTATTAATTTTTATATCTGAATGTTAAAAATGCCAACATTTGGATCCCGTGTCTTTGATGAAGTGAAAGTGAATCAGTATTCTCTGATTAAATCTAACAATGTAGCAACTGTGACCAGGCTCAAGCCATCCTTAATCCTGAATATCACAATATTCTTTCACTCAGTTTCATATTCAAATCAATAACAACTACACAAAGATAAAGAACAATCCTAACACTGTACCTGGACAAAGTTATGTCCTGAAGGTAATTTTTAGACAACTATAACAGATCTACAAAAGCTGATGACATTTACAATTGTAAGTTCTTTATTTCTAATAACTTCTAAAACTTATTGTTAAATTTATATAAAGAAGCACCTTGAAAATTAATTTCCAGTAGTTGCAATTGCTTCATAAAAGGACTTTCTTGGCAAAATGTAATGCTACAAAGACTTCCAAAATTTTCTTCCAGCTTTTCTTGTCTGAAAGAAAAAGTATCTGCTCATCTGCTTATCCTCAGCCTAACATTCAACTTTGATGTATCTATCTCTATAGTGACCTACTTGGAATCACATCCCCAGAGATAAGTAATGGCAAACTTTATTAATTACCCTTACATACATCATTAGCCCCTATGTACATAATAAACCCTGCATCACTGCTACACCTTTTACTACCTCACTTGCTCCATCGGTAATGTCCTTCAACCCTGCTCCTGAATAGAATTAATTGAGACACAGTTTTGAAAGAGACTACCAAACTTTTTTGTTTACATTTGAGTAATGACACTTGTCTGTTACACCAATGTCCTAACCTTAGAATTACCAGTGAGGTGCATATGTATCTCACCAGCTTTATTTGCTAAACTACTTATACAACAAATTCCTTATAGGTCCATGACTTTATCGGTTATAAGACCCTTAATAACATGTAAGTCACACAAAACAAAATTAAACAAAAAGTAATTGCAACTGTTCAACGAATTACTGCTTGGGTTCCCTGTGTTTTTATACACAGAAAATGAGCGAAGTCTCATGTTTTTGTTCCTTTCTTTATAGATAACTGTAGTGATGGGCAAAATAAAAAAGTTACTCAATACAACACAATATATGAAGCTCCAATGATAATGAGTAGTAAATAAACAAGATGATAATTTAAGGGTTAACAAATTTTCAACCAATAGTTATTGTGGATTTATGATGATACTTAGGTATATTACATTCAATCAGAACTGATCACATTCGTCAAAGGGGAATGTATCATAAACAAATGTGTCGATCAATTAGAAAGTACATATTTTTTCTCTTTTCTTCTAACTATGTATGATGTTTAAGAAATGCTGCAAGTTAATTTTACTGAAATATAGGTCTTAAGTCTGTACTAATTTGACATGTTTTTTTTTTTTGTATCAGCATACGAAAGAAAAATCATTCTCAAGATATCAAAGACAAAGTAATTTGTATTAAGCTTCTTTGTAATTATCAAGTATAGTGTATTTAATAAACCATTTATGGAGAATGAGTACCTTTGCTATTTGGTCAGGTTTACAATCTATACAGTGTACATTTACATTGCATATTTATCCTAAAATAAGTGCCTGGTATAGGTCTAAATCTTGTCCGTTAAGTGTGATCTGTGGAACCCAAAATTTACAAATATTCATATTACGTGACATTAGTTATACTTAAATAACAGTATAATTATACCTTTGCCTAGCTTTATTATGATAATCACTGCTGATGTGGTTATATGCTGTACAATTGGTATAATATTCTAAATTAACAGTACATATTTAGCGCAAAGTTCATACCATGTGTTTGTTAGTAACTTTTACATTCCTTTTCTTTATTAAACGTTAATAATAATAATGAAATCATTATTTGATAACTTAATCCTTGTAAAAACAAAAAAAAATAATGATAGTAATGCTACTATTACTGGCAGTAGTAATAATAATAGTATTAAGTGTGGACATAACTGTAATTAATTTAATTACTAAGTACTTTAAGTTTAATACGTTCGTACTCTAACTCACCTTTTTAATTTTAAGTAAAAATCACTGAAATTTAGAACTAAACGTTTAATAAGTTAATGTTACAGCATCACTTCGAATATTTGTTTGCTACATAACGCCCATTAGTTACAGTACGTAATGCAATCAAATTGAATGATTGCGAAAAGATGTCATGTCGCCGCGTGTGTACACTACAGAAAACAGCGGTTTTTAATGTCTGTATTATCAGTTTTTTCTTATCTCGTTCGTACCAGAAATAGTATAGGCGTTTGCACTTACACAGTGCAATATTTCCCCTGTATTCGTATTACTATTACAGACTATTACTCAAAATTGTGAAATAAGGATTAATAATAGTACTGCCTAGCTGTCTCAGGTGAGATATTTTTACGATGTCGCTCCCTTCGAAGTTTGATGTTTCAGTCCAGGGTCCTGAAAATGGCCGATCGGTACCACCTGAGGTGACAAATTCTAATGCTTATTTTCTGAAAGTTTAGTTTCTATATGAACTGTTTGGGCATGATAGACATCTGGCTAGAGTAGCTTTTTTATATTTTTTCATCGCCTTTATATGTATACCCTATGTTCTGCTATTTGCTAATTTCGAGGTTCTTCGAAGCCAGTTTTGTTTGTTTGGAGTTAAGCACAAAGTTACACAATGGGCTATCTGTGCTCTGCCCACCACGGGTATCGAAACCCGGTTTCTAGCGTTGTAAGTCCGCAGACATGCCGCTGTGCAACTGGGGGCCTCTTCGAAGCAAATGTGAATGATAAAATCAATTACGCACGATACTTACCAGTATATTATGCGAATATGCAACAACTACTGAACAAACATCCGCTTGCCTTCGCTCATTTCCAGGCTGGAGGGTTCTCAGCTCAGCTAGGGTATCAGAATCCATTTGAAAAATTAAAATGGGTCAGGCGACGGAAGAAACTGTAAATATGGACACTTAAACCCAAGGTGGTATCAAAGTTTTCAATCTTCGTCCAAGTAGAGTCACCAAATACTACAGGACAGCAGAGTACAGGATGACATGTCTTAGCCAAGTGAGAGCTATGACAGAACTATACAGCTCAAACTTTTCTCACACAGACCTGGAGGCATGAAGAATACAAAAAGACTGTGCTGATGTTATACTTGATATGCTGGAAAACAATTGGGTGAATCGTTTTAGAGAACAAATGAACTTGGTCAGTCTGTCAACAGTCAAAGCAGCAAATCCTGATGTTACAGAGCAACTCCTTCGTGCACAAGAAATAGAAGAAAAGGCATACCAAGAATTTAAAAAGAATCACTTTGAACCAGATGCCTCTCACAAATTTCATGGCAAACTGATCAAACAAAGCTGAAAACATTCTCTAACCTCAACAAAAGGAGAGAACTTACGAAAACAACTGGGAAAGAAGTGCAACTCAAGGCAGACATTTGTTCGGCCACATGATCATCATTGCACATAACAGAAACCTCAACATCAAAGAAGTACTCACACACTCATTGAGTTCAATTTCATGGTCGCTAGCCACTTTTGATGGATCACTACGGAAGACCAACAAGGCAGCTTTTGGCAGAGAAGTAATAAATAATTTGTCACCAGCATAAAATATAGCAGAACCATCCACCTGTGTCACCGGTGGAATGAGTATTGTTAAAAAGATAAAAGGAGACAACAAACAGAATATACGCTGTCAATGATTTTACACGAAGGCACATTTAGTCACAGGATTGATGTTGTATTTCTGTTGCAAATATTAATTGTTCATCTTATTTTTCATTTGCGTCGAATATCATTATTTTGCTCAACAATGATTTAGTAAATATGCTATTGTTAATTCATAATTGATATCTTGAGCAAATCTCTTGTTATTCAGTAAACCTATCTCTTTGAGCTTAACTTATATTCAATCACACATTGGATAGGTAAGGAGAAATTTTAGTGCCGTGACCAGGATATTTGTTTCCCTTTCTGAATCACGTGTTTTACAATGTCTACATGAACAGTTGAAACGGTTAAGGTCTGCATTAGTTGACACATATAAGTCTGTATAGTAACAGTTGTAAAATGTGCTATGACAAGAAAGTAAAGAAACATATTGGATGTGGCTTTGGTATGTTATATGGTTCTGGTGGAATTAGATCTCATATTGTGATTCAATGTGTCGTTTCTTTTATATATGAGACACAGCAGTTGAAAGGCATATGCAAGCTGGTAAGTGCATATTGTCCAGCTGAGTCTGTAGGTGACCAATAATCAGTAGAGGTATTCAACTTAGATAACGATGAAAGCACTGTCTTATCACACCACGACCCTCAGAATAGGAGGGAAGAAAATAGAAAAATGGATGACAATGCTCTTCCAACCAATATAGTTGGAAATTAATCAAGATCAAACAACTAGGATGGTCAAGTAAATGAAATACTGACTAAAAGGATGTCGTGACGCAAGTTTTCAACCTCTGTATGGTGACATGAGACACTGTGTATGAACTACATAGTACAGTTGCCATCCTATCAAGAACTAGGGTAATTATTAGGTTGAGCACCCGATGGTTGAAAGGAAGTAGTGATAATTTCTTTCCAAGTTATCAAGTGAGATTCACTATACAATGCATAAACTACACTGTGGGACTTCCACTTGATTACCAAGAAGCTAGGACAGCTAGTATCAGTAGATATAATACCTTGTGCATCACAGTTTTTACGACTGGAGATGATAGTTAGCAGTTCAAATGGTATTGCAACCTTTGCTTTTTGAGCTATTGGGTGGAATGTTAAGATATGGTGTATGTGCTACGTTGTATGATTACTACTTGATCATTTGAAATTAGGAGGGTTTGTTGATTACAAGATTATCTGGAGTGAAAGGGCTTCGAAACCAATATTTTCCAAGCTGTGGATTGGAAGTTTGTGACAAGAGATATGTATAGAAATTTTGATAATAGCTTTGTAATTAATGCAGTTTAGGACTGCTGTTTCTAGTAGATATAACGCTTAATGCATCGATAGTTAGCATGACTTAAGATGATAGGAGCTGTAAAACACAGTCTAAAGGGCTTTGTGACCCTTGTTTTCCCAGCATTTGTGTAGCACAGTGTGTGTATTTGCTTTTATGGAATAAACCACAATCCGATAAGCTCATACTTCCTGGATGGTGCCATTAGTTGTTTTTCTATGACCTTAATGGATTCAAGTTCTATCGCTGACTGTTTCAGGCTGTGTACCTACTTTCCTTTAGCCTAATCACACAGCCTCATCCGCTATAGCATCTATGGATTAGTCACATGCCAATGAATCCATCGTTGCACAAGAAACATCTAGGTAAAATGTTCGGCTTCTAAAATTTGCTTTGGCAACTTCCTTCTGGTATGTCACTCCAAATTTGTTTGGTAAAGCAGCCACCAGTGATTGATAGTTATGGCTCTCAACTGGAATATTTTTTTTTAATATTGTTATAGGTGGTCCTTTTCAATAGGCATCAAGATGAATAACTTGTTCTTTAATCCATCCATACATTTTGGAAATTATTTGGAACTGAGCCTGGTAGTTTTCCATTATAATATGTTGATTTCTCGTTTGAGTGATGTTATTGTACTAAATTCTGGGACTTTATGAGATAATGATGTAATTGGAGTAGTCCAGGAAGATTCTGCAGTCATCAGTGGCAGAGAAGTTTAAATGACTGATTACCAGATGGGTTTTCCTCTTCCATATTTCATTGTTAATGATATTTGGGGCCCAAATCCTCGAGCAGATGCACAGAGGGGTATGATTGGTTTGGTCCTCACTCTTACAAATTAATTTCCCAAATGTTTTATTGTTATTTTATACATCACTGATTTCTTTTTGTAATTTTTCAAGTTTGCTGGTATGATATTTTGGCACATTAAAAATGCCTTTCTGTAGCTGGTAAACTGTTTTTGAATAAATGTAATAGTATAAAATATTCTACACACATTATAAGAACAACAGTAAATCCTTTAACATGGATGGTTAGTTGTAGGATGTTTCTGACTAGCTGACTTCAATCTG